CCTTGACTTCAGGGAAAGTCTGCAATAAAGGTCCCGTGACTTGAGCTGGTTACTGCATCAAAAGCACAGTTACTTGTTTGCTTCATTTCTATTCCTATGTGTAGACACCCTCAGATGCCAAAGAGCCACCGGGACAGCCTGCTCCTCCTCCCAGGCCCTGCTGAGAGGGGCTGTCTCCCAGCCCATCCCTCTGGAAATACTCCTGTGTCACCGTGCTCCGGGTGCTTGCTTCAGCTTGAGGCAAGTGAGGGCTTCCCCACGCCTGGGGTTAGGTGCTGGCCGTCAGATGTGATGGGAACGTGGTAGAAGGCAAAACAGTTCTACCTAGGCAGAGTGGCAATGGGGAAACTTGGTGTCTGGTCTGTGCCGTGGGTGTGATGAGTTGCTGGTCTACTGGAGAAGTTGGTTTTTCAGAGGGAGAGCTGCGGGGCCGGCAGTGCAAGGCCAGTGGTAGGTGTAGTACCAAGAGAGGTCCTTTGCTGCTGGGAGACTGATCCCAACCATACTGTGCACCTCACGGTTGTATCTTTGGCTAGGGATTTTTCTAGAAAGTGATTTCCATTTTGTTATTCCTCCAGAATAATAAATGGTGCTTCATCATAGCAAAAGATTCCCCAGACTCAAGTGCCGATATAGGCAAAACAGGGAAGAAAATCTACTCAGCAGTGGGGTTCTTATGAGTCTAAAACAGAATATTTCTTTCCTCAGGAGGATATTACCTTTTGCAGCATTCCCTTCTTTCACTTACCCTGTAGGTATACTCATCTGCTGCCCTATTTTAAGTAATTTTTGTTGATTATAATCATATTATACTTGCCATCCTATCTTATAGTATTGCATTAATATTCTTGGACCAAAATAAAACTGGAATGAGCTAGAACATAGTTACCCTTTATTTGCCTGGGAGACAAGATGCAAGGTGTGCTTTCCAGATGGCAAAATCATGCATCCCTCCACTAATCTCCACAGCCGCTAAACCATCCACACATCCTAGGAAAAAGCTGTGATTGATTGAATACTATGATGTGAAATTAACTGAAGAGCTGCATTCCACTTGTCATGTGAAAACGCCTTTTCCTGATTTTTTTTTCCCCAAGATCTCTGTTTGCACGATGCAAATGAGCTGACCACTTCAACCTAAATTTAGAGCTTTAAGCTTGCAGGTATTTTGATGGCAGCATCTGCACGTGGAAGAGCTGCAGGGCCAGGTAGGACATAAGATGGGACAAGTATAGCCACAAGTTTTTCATCCTATTGTGCATCACATTGGGACTAAGAAAATAAAAACAGTTATTTTCCCCCAACCAAACCCACACATGTCTAAACATCTTCAAAGCCTGCAGTGGAATAAATAACACACTGAATAAGTGTTTCAGGTTTACGAGACACACCTTGTTCAAGACAGGTTATACAGCCAAAAATCAAGAAAAACAAAGGAGTGCTGTGCCAGCTTCATGAAGGGATTTAACCTCTGCCTTTTCTTTGCAAGCTCAGCCATGTCCCAGACAGATACATTCTGTATTGTGCTCATTATCTGTCCAAAAAGTCTTCGTCTTTGTAAAGGTTCAAGTATGTTATAAGCGTGAGACCTTTATTTGGTCCAAGTGCCAGAACATTGCAGAGCTACAGTTTGCATCTCTCAGTCCTTCATCCTCAACTCCATGCATTTCAAGTACGTGTCCTAATGCACTAGATATTTTTTTCCTAGAAAGTTCTCTTTATTTGAGCTAAATATGCTTGAAAAGCAAAAGACTTCTGATAAAGTCTAGATCAGTGTTATATGGTTAAAGCAGAAGATCTGAACTCTTGGGGAAGATAACAGAGTGTACAAATTCTTCATATTCTCACTTTCCACAGAGTTCATAAACTTTGCAAAAGACCAAGGGTGTGCAGATGCTTTCAGAGAAGATAACTGCATCAGTGGAGTTACTCTACTGGCTTTCAAAAAAAAAAAGTAAAAATTGTACAGGCCTCTTGTCTGTGGTGAGGTTTTAATTCTGCCAGTTTAAGCAACTATTCAGAGACTCCAAACTCCACCGGTGCAACCAATGAAACATGCACCCTCCTTCCCTTCCAATCCGACTGACCTCAATGATGTTGGGGTTTTGTCTTCTGTCTGTGTATATACATATGTTAAGCCAAACAGCAGAGATTCAAGTGGAATTACAAACACTGCACATGGAGAATTTGATTTGAATTTGCACATTATATTGAGCAACTTGCAAGAATGTTACAATTATACCTAATTATGATAGGATGAAGATGTCTGTAGTGGATTAAGACAGCTACACTGTCCAAGTCATGTTGAGAATATTTGCTGGCAGCTGCTGGGGTACACATGCACATAACGTATGTCAGTGAAACCATCGCCGCAGGAAGACCGAATTTCAGAACCTCCCCAGCCTGTGGCAGATTGGGCAGGGGAGCTGAGAGTAAAGCCCAGAGGAAACAAGATGGGAACTATGGAATAGAGGAGGAAAAGAGAGAGCCCATCTCAGGAAAGATGTAAAACACTTCTGTCCTTTCTGTTTACATCACATCTTTTGTCTCTGTGCTTAGGAAGGTGTGTAATTACACTTTGTTTATTCAGCATTGTGTTTAGCTTGGCACAAGACAAAGTTAAACATCCCACGGAACATGATGCTGAATGCTTGTTTTCCATGACCTTTCTGGAGCACCGCAGGTACATGTAATCCCAGAATTATTAAAACCCTGTTTCGGCACGGAGGAAGGTAGAATCAGGCTCAGCACAAGACCTGGATGCTCACAAGTGAGATGCTATCTCGTGGCCTGGTCTTTTGGGTGGAATTCAAGACCAGCATCAGGCACCTGCACCCTGCACCACGAAAGGCAGGAGCCCTGGAAGAAAAATCCCAACCCCACCCCAACTGAGCAAGGACAGAATGACAGGAAAAATGGAGGGCAGGATTGGATCTGAACACATCCCACCTTTGGAGAGAAGGTGTCTGAAGGAAGGGGCTGGAAAGGATCAGGACAGTGACATGAGTTTGCATCCTTAACGGTCAGGGGTAACCCACCCCTGCAATGGCTGAGATCTACATTGTGGTGGCATCATCTCGCAGAGGCAGAAGCCTGGCAGCAGAATCCACTGTTACTTGACCTATGCACACAGTTTTTACATACAGGCTTTACATATTCTCCCCTTGGCTAAATGACTCCTTTGTCGCAGACAGATCTTCCTTTTCCATTTGGAAATTTTGTCCAGGAGGATTTTGAGGATTTGCTTAGGTTTTCTGGGTATTTAGTAAGCTTGAAGAGGTCAAATGACAGATGCATGCCCACTGAGAGCATAATGCAGCCACGCAGCAGATGAGCAGAGTTTCTAATGCTTTCAGAAGCATCAGCAGACTCTCCAATGTACACACCAGAGAATATTCTGCATGTGTGTACTGCATCCAACATTTCTGCGTTAGAAGTGCTGGACTTACTGTGGATGTGATTCATGGTAACCCCAGACATTGCAGGACAGTCCACATAGAGGATGACGTCCCTGGTTTGTCTGTAGATGCTGCCCAGTGGGAAACTGCACACAACTGCAGAATTTAGGCATGTCAGAGTGAGGCGGGATAAGGAAGGAAGTGAAATGCCAAACAACCATGTAGGATCTGGAAGCAAGGTAAAACTTCTCTTGTATTATCAAGAGAAGCAAGGTGAAACTTCTTAGTATTTTTCTGTCCAGTTAAAGTTGGCATTCATGACATGGATAGGGTCTAACCTGGAGATCAGGAGGAAAGTTCACTTTTCATGGAGACTCAGGACTGAGAAGCCTTTCGCTGAGCATCACGGTTGCTCTCCTGCTCTCCAGTGCCATGTATCAGAGGCCAATTTGCTGGCTTGGTCTATGCCCAGCCATGCAGCTAATGCAGGAGCTCCGAGATGCTTAATGGAGCTGGTTTTGTCCTGCAGCCCTATGCTCACAAAGGCCTGCTACAATTAATTCGTTACAGCTGAATTTTGTGCATAGAAGACAGAGTTTGACTGTGTATCCTTTGTAGAATAGTTTTGAAAAGCTGTAATAAATGATACCTGAGATTGCTTCTGCAAGTGTTTTTACACTCGTTTTCAACAAGAGCAGCTGAGATTCTGAGCTGTAGAGAAAATGTTCTTCCTTTTAATTTGAATTAGCATAAATTGTAAGAATGCTTGTACTTTCCTCCTGGCTCAGGCTAAGATCTTATCACTCATAATAGCTTCTTTCAGACCATAGCCAATAGTAGATAGATAGAAAAAAAAAAAATGAAAAAAAAAAAGAAACAGGGCACATCTAGAGTGATCCTTCCCTTGGCCTGTTCTCCCAGACTCAGTGGTTTACATCTTTTCAAGTTGAAAAGTGCACCTGGGTCAACATATTTAATAGCATACTTAACGAAAACTCAGCACAAACAAGAAATCCATTCATCTTTTAAAGCTTTCTTCCATAATCACAAGGAGACTCCTTCACACAACCCACCTACCAGAGCAGTTTCAGGACAGCATTCTGCAGCCTGACACTCCCTGGGAATATCTTCCTACCATTTTACATTTTTACCTCCCCATTTCTTGCTGGCACTTAGGACTGGCTTATCACACTAGTGCCAGGCTTACCCACGCAACTGGCTGTTTGGACATTTGATCAGCAGTAGCTGTTAGGTTTTAGAAAGCAGTGATTAGTGATAAGAGGTTACTAGCTTCTTCTATAGAGGAAAAAACCTTAAATGGTGTAGTATTTTCTGCACTGGTACATTACCACGTGTGGGTACTATGCAACCCAGCATCTAAAGCAACCGGATTTCTTTCTGCACAGGGGTGAAGGCATTTTTCTTCTTCATCCTGTTGGTCAAAAGCCTTAATGTATTTCATTGACAGTCCCTATTGCCCATAACTTCATATATAAATGCCAGATATCAGGCGATACGGTTAGGAGAGCTGAGGGAAGCCGAGCTCGAAGATGTGACCCACTGCTTCAGGGTCTGCTCCCCACCACCCTTGCAGGCGCTTACCGTAACCCATGAGGGACTCGCAGGTCCATTCCCCACCCTGCTGAGGCCTCTGGCAGCTCTCCCACAACGACGCTTGGTGCACGTAGGGCAAGGTCTGCGACTCCAGCCAGCCCCTGCCCGCCAGCGCAATGATCCCGAAGATGACGCCTATGCCCAGGAGCAGGGGTAGGATCCATCGGCACCGCGTGTAGTCAAGGCCGTACTTCACCATCTTTCAGGGCTGGTGGGACGTGGATGGCCGTCTCTGCCACAAACTCAGCGACGTAAAGCAACGGGTGCTTCTGCAAAGCTCCTGGAAAGGGAGCGTCGGTGCCTACGAGCGCATGTGCAGATGTTTGAGAAAAGCTTTTTAATCAGGAGAGACACGGGAGGGAGGGAAGGAGGGAGCTCCTCCTAGATTCAGATGAGTAAGCTGCTGCTGAGCAAGAACCAGTTGAGCTGGAGTTGAGCCGGGGAGAAGTTGCAAGGCTGGGTTTAGCTGTGGGATCCTCTCTGCCCTGCTGACTAGGTAACAAACCGGGTGCTGTTTACCCTCGGCATTTAACGCTTTCCTTCCTGCCACTCCCCACCAGCAGGAACATCTCACAGCTGGGTTTACACCTTTCTGTCTCCTAAGGGATTTGCATTTTGGCAGGTGAAAACAGGAGACAAGCCAGCGAACTGTTTGCATTAGAGCATGGTTGCTTTTGAAACTTGCCACCTGGAGGCTGAAAGCTGCCTTTCTCGGGCTCCATTTAAAAATAAAATTATACCTTATTTTTTACAATTAAAAAATTTCCCCTAGCTGCTATAAAGCTAAGACAATAAAGAATGTGTGACTGCCCTCCCTTCCCCTTTTGGGACATAGCTGCAAGGGTAAAAAAAAACTGACGAGGTTTATCATTTAAAATGTAGTATGGTCTGGATATAGCCTTAGCGGGAGAAGAAAAACCGAGCTTTGGTTTGACCGTGCCTTACGAACACTCCCTGCGCCAGGGCCTGTCGGGGCCTGTCTGCAGCCTGCTGCGAGGGCAACACGGAGACCAGCTGTCAGTAATGGCCTAAATAAAAGAAATTAATAATTTACGTTGAATTGCTACACTGTACAGGGGACTGCCTGAAGAGGTGTTGAGCTTGCACGGACCCAAACTGGAACATCCACAGCAATGAGCTGCAGCACCGTGAAGAGGTAGTAGCTCCGTCATGAAAGTAATTTGAATGGGTTAATGTGACACCGTGCCTTAACTTTAATCAGAGACAGCTTATTAGCAGTGGTGTGGCTGCTTTGCCTCTCATTCTGTAGCCGGTGCAATTCTGGTTATCATCTGCAGCATCCCGCCAGCAGCTCCCCCATAGTACAGACACAGCCCCATGTCCCTGCGGGGGTGAGAGGTCCATCAGGAGCCTTCAACAAGTCTCTGTGAGAGCAGGAGGCATTTCTACACATCTGGCCGTTGAATTTGAATGTCGCTGAAAGCAAAAGTCAACTATGAAGACGCCTCAGATGCTGTTTTGGGTTGGAAATAAGGGACAACCTCAAGTATTTTTTGTAAAGCACACTTTAGGGAACGACCATTTCCTTAGAATGTGTCTTCCCTTGTGGTCCACATTTGTGCTATCCACAAATTCAGTTATCGTTAACCTAAACATAATGTTTAAAATGCCATTTACCAGTTCTATAACACTGCAATATATCATTTTTTATGCATGATTTTAAAAAATATTTACATTAAAACCAATACTGTTTGAAGCTCACCCTTAGTGCAATATGCTGGTACCTGCAAGCTGTTCAAGTCTGTTTACACATATTCTTTCTGTTGCCACAGCTGAAGTAGAAATGGGCACAATGAACTCCAAAAGATTGAGAGAACACAGATTTCGATATTAATGGTTTTTAAAAGATGGCTTCAGAAACTCTCATGCATGTGGCAGCAGACTGTAGCTAAGCCCTCACTCAGCTGTCTATATCCAATCTCTTGCTAAGTTTTAATCCTTCACAAAGTTACAGTTTTCTAAAAACTCAGCCTTTTGTTCTTTTCTCAGAGAAAATAGCCAAATCAAGTTAAAGCAATTTTGTAGCTGAAATCCAGTATAAAGTCAGGCACTGTCAGATATTTGAGAGCCAGCATTTGTTGAGGAATAAAATCCTCTGGCCAGCTTTTTGAATGCTCAGCCATGTTTCAGGTAGGCATTTCTGACTGAAGGATTTGTCATCAGTTTTTGTTATAACTCACCTATGGACAAATGCATATTATCACAAATATTAGCATTTGCCAGATGATACCAGAGAATACTTTATCATGCTGTGAAAGAAAGATGAGTGGTGTTCAGTCACCGCGGGTGTTTCTGCGTCTTGCCCATCTTTGTCATCCTTAAGTAACTTAGAACTACACACAATCTTCACATTCAGCACAAGGGTAATTTGTGATACCGGGAACAGCAGAGAGGGAGATGTATTCAAAGGCAACAAAGCGAAGTATCTCATGTAATTCTGATACTCCTATGGCAAACAGAGGAAAATGGTTGGAAACTTTTATTAAGGAGTTTGTGATTTGAAGTGATGACTTACCCTCCACGTGCTTTGTCTTTTGCGGCATACAAGCTGGGTCTTTACATGGAAGCAAGTGCTCATTCTCCTTTTCCAGGATCTGGGGATAGTCCCTCCTGGTTAACACCAACATCATCTGTTGAAAATGAAGACATGTTATCAATGTTTAAACTGTTAGACTGTAGTGCACTTTCTATATCTGAAAATATTCCTAACAAATCTTCATTGCTACTTGAAGTAACCAAGCAGTAGGATATTGATAAAACAAACAATTCTATGGCATTAGAGCTAAAAAATAAAATGTGCCCTTTTCAGCCAAGATACAAATGGTTTTCATAGTGGAAGAAGCAGCTAACAAATGATTGGCAGCACATTTTCATCCACCTTTAGTCTGCTGACGGGGTCAGCTGAGCTATATAAAGGACTGGATTGGCATGGGCTGACCAGCTATGGTGCATGTTGATGACTTCTGCAACAAGCGCATTTTCATTCTCTGATATTCATACCACTCATAAACAAGAACTCCCCAGAGTTTGGTTTTTAAAAGCTTTGCTAAGACTGTTTCATGATCCATTCTCTTGTATGCTGTCTTATATCTAACAAGTCATGCTGAGCAATTGAGAAGCATTTTCTGCATGAGCTACCATAAATCTTATGACTATCATTATTATCTTTATTAATCCATTTACAACCATAGGTCCTTTTTTTCGAATAATGCCAATCTGCCGTTTCCCCTTGCAGAGGGCTGCACCTTGCCTTGCCACTGGAATATCGCACTGCAGTTGTTGTTATAAGCACAACCTATACAGTGATGCAACTCACTCGGCCAAATCCTACCCAGGCTAAATTGTACCTTGTGGTCACTCTCGGTACCCAGCGTCACCTGGGCACCAAGGCAATAGTGTTCTCAAGGTGGCTAATATTTCGCCCATAGTAAGCACATGTAGAAAAATACCTTTAGACACCAAAAGTGTTCACAGGATAATCCGAGCTACAATTCCTTTACCTTAATTAGAAGGATACTGGAAATGCGTCTTGAACAGGACTTGACAGCATCTGCTGACCATGTGTTGGTAAAGCAGGCCTGCCTCAACGGGACAAACGCCTAGGCTGAGAAGGCAATTTCTTCCTTTCCTTAGCTAGGGTACATGTGCAAAACCAGTGGATTATCACAAGTGAAAGTTTTAACAGCCGAGTTGCAAACATGAGGCTGCATCCAGAATTGTTATTTATGGGAGCAATTCAAGACCGTATTAGGAAAACGCAAAAGTCTCTGTGTGCCTGAGAGTGGATTTCATTTTCAGCTAGTTTTTGCTAAAGGACATGGTTTCTTCAGGCTAGGCTCTAAACTGGAACAAGGTTTAATCCCCTGTTATTTCTTACAGATGCTCTGTAGAAGTTTGATGAGTCCAGTCGATCACCTACCCCAGGCAAGTGGCTGAAATCAAGAGTGTCCTGTAAAGTCACGATGCAGTTACCAGCTGAGATGGGCTCCGGACATTCATAACCACTGTGGGGGTCTGTACCTCCCTTGGGCGGCTGTCAGGAGTCTATAGAATCATAGAATTGTTTAGGTTG